GCAGAACTGTAGCTATAGCTAAATGTAGCAGAACTGTAGCTAAAAGCAAAAAGTAGATTAACTGTAGCAATAAATTAAATGTAGCAGAACTGTAGCTAAAAGCTAAAAGTAGCATAACCTTAGCTATAAGCTAAAATTAGCAGAACTGTAGCTAATATTTGCAAGCTAAAAGTAGAAAAACAAGTTAGAAACTAAAAGTAGCAAAACAAAACTGACAGCTAAAAAAAGAACTGTAGCTATAAGTGAAATGAAGCAGAACTGTAGCTAAAAGTAGCATAACCTTAGCTATAAGCTAAAATTAGCGGAACTGTAGCTAATAGTTGCAAGCTAAAAGTTGAAAAACAACAATTAGAAATTAAACGTAGCAAAACAAAAACTGACAGCTAAAAGTAGCAGAACTGCAGCTAAAAGCAAAAAGCATAAAAACAGTGGTTAGAAACTAAAAGTAGCAAAACAAAACTAACAGCTAAAAATAGCAGAACTGTAGCTAAAAGTAGAATAACCTTAGCTATAAGCTAAAATTAGTGGAACTGTAGCTAATAGTTGCAAGCTAAAAGTAGAAAAACAAGTTAGAAACTAAAAGTAGCAAAACAAAACTAACAGCTAAAAATAGTAGAACTGTAGCTATAAGCGAAATGTAGCAGAACTGTAACTAAAAGCTAAAAGTAGCATAATCTTAGCTATAAGCTAAAATTAGCAGAACTGTAGCTAATAGTTGCAAGCTAAAAGTAGAAAAACATGTTAGAAACTAAAAGTAGCAAAACAAAATTAACAGCTAAAAGTAGCAGAACTGCAGCTAAAAGCAAAAAGTATAAAAACAGTGGCTGGAAACTAAAAGGAACAGAACAGTAGCTAGAAGCTAAAGGTAACATAATAAGACTAAAATAGAGCCAGTTTGCAAAAGCAGGTTTTAAACAAACAATATTTTGTTGAATAAATACATAAAATATTTCAATGTTTCTATGCAGAAAATAATTTGTAAATAAAGTTGAATATTTTGAGAAGTATAAAAGTTACAAAACATGTAGCAACCTTCTACTGAACAAACTGAAGTGAAACAGCTCAAAGTGTGCAGGAGTAGCTGAATCAGCATTTACACATTAATAAGAGACGTTTAAAAAAAACTGCAAGAAAAGAGCTGCAAAGGAGCAGACACACGGTAACCATGGCAACTAAGACGGCGCACGTTCAACTCCCACCTGTTTGTGAACCTTGGTGAGCTGCTCAAGATTGTTCTCAAGAAAAGATATTTTCTGCTTTTGTGCCGCGCTGCCTCCTGTGTCGTCTGAATCCATCTCGGCACTCTGCACAAACAAACAAACACAAACATGAGCACAAATAAAGCCGCCCATCATCTCATCAGTAACTGCATGCAAGAAACCTGCTTTAATTTACTCTCCAACGTGGAGTCCATGTTTATTTTGAGTGTAGTGTGTGAGAACTGGTAGCGTTTGACCTTTTTCACTCTGGTGGCCAGGTCCTGGACAAAGAGTTTCCTCAGGTTGTGAAGAGTTTGTAGCTCTTTGGCCTGCAACACAACAACATCCAATTCTGATCAGTTCACATCCAATAAATTCAAACGTAGCTCGTTCACCTGGTGTCACTAAACTATCAATGTCTTCTCAGGTAGCTATAAACAAACACACACGTCCAGTTTAATTTAATTCTCATCTAATTTGGTTATTTTAATTTTGAGTGTATCAAGAACTACAAAAATGGAAATTTAAACTAACTGTTTTAAGGAATCCAGACTTCATCAAACCACTCATTTAATTCCTCAGAAATTATTCCAAACAAGTTTAATTTGGTCTCATTAATTCAAGTCTGAGCAACGCAACAGATTGTAATTTCAAGTCACATATCAACAATTAGGCAAATTCAGAAAATACCGTAATTTCCGGACTATAAGCAGCTACTTTTTTCACACGCTTTGAACCGCGCGACTGATACAACGCTGGGGCTAATTTATGGATTTGATGTGCTAACGAGCTTCATGTCACCAGAACTCGTCCCGTCGCACTCAGGCGCTCACATAGCTGCCCAATACATCTCTCTTGGGGTGGGGGGGTCCTCATGACTTAATGAGACTACCTGTATAAATAGTTTTTTTTATCCCACTAATGAAATGGGAGGAGCACCGTTTCTCCTACATTTACTTGCGTTGGCAGGGCAATCACCTCTTCCATGATTTTTGACAGTGTGTGTGTGTGTGTGTGTGGGGGGGGGGGGGGACACATCTGTGTTGCGCACTGTTTGTACTGCAAGTTTTTAAATGGAGGGGGACACCGCTTAGCGTGAGGGAATCAGAGCGCTACCTCTAGCTTTTTAGCTAGCGCGTCTGTATTGTGTACCGCTATTTTAGTGCTATGTCAGTGTTAAGAGTTGTGGGGGGGGGGGGGGTCGGTAGGTAGGGCACTCTGCTCTGTTGGTGGGGCGCCCTGTTTGTATAATGGTAGGAGAAACACTCGAGGAGAGAACAAGGGGGGAGATATGTACAAAATCTTTTTTTTTTTAGTGGGTGCGGCTTATTCAATTCAATTCAATTCATAAATACTTTATTAATCCCAGAGGGAAATTAAGTGCTGTTGTAGCTCATCATCCTGGTTTCATTCAAGAGTTGTTGTAGATGCTGATAGCTGTGGGCAGGAAGGATCTCCTGCAGCAAATTCGAAGAATCTGGCTACAGATCGATCTGTCCACCTGGATCCAGCTTGCTGTCAGATCCGGCGGGCCTCTCGGCCCTCCTGGGCAGCAGGACTGCCCGAAAGCTCCTCGTCACCGCGGAGAGACAGCTGAAGGTGCCGGGGTGTGATCCCGGTCCTCCCTTTGTCACGAGGCGAGTTTCCCACCAGCTCCATGATCTTGGCGGTCAGGTCCTCGAGCATCTCCACCAGGTTGATGGGAATTCATCCACGGCGCCTCCTTTTCAACTCATTTGGGATTTGGGGCTGTAGTTGAGGTGTTTGAGCTTTTGAGGTGTTTATCAGTTGCTCCTGGTTGTTAAAAAGCATCTTGTTGCCACGGTTACGCATCATAAAAGCCCCAAATTAAAAAGGTTTCCGTAAAAATCCTTCCAGCTGCACAGCATCTGATACCACAGGAAATAATCATCCAGAAAAAAGAGGAATTAAAGTTTTCAAAGGCAATAACTCAAAATGAAAGTAACCGCTACTCCAACATGCAGCCACCCCGAGCGGCGCAATTCTAGAACAATAGTCTGGAAATTACGGTAGTTCTGTTATCATTTAATGACGTAGATGAACTCACCACGGTCTCTTCAAGCCCCTTCAGGTCCTGTCTGGCCTGCTCCCTCCTGTCCTGCATCACCCTGAGAAAAAACAAACAACAAATGTTGGCGTTTGTCCACAACAAAGACAGACTTGTTAGCTGCGCACGTGAATGTCTTAAACCTACGTGAGCTCGTGCAGCTTGCGGCTCTTCTCCTGGTCGGTGGATCGGAGCTTCTCGTGCTCCACTCGGAGCCTCTCCTGCTCCAGCATGATCTTCTGGTTCAAACTGGTGGAAACAGAACGCAGACAGAAATAAACGATTCCCATCAAAACATGCGGGTCATGGAGGACGACGGCATCAGCGCGTCACTTTACACATCGTCATGTAGCATACAAAACGTTTGGTTCCAGCTGAAGTGTTATTAAACGTGGATTTTAATCAGTTTCTAATCTTTGTGAGGGAAGCAGCAGATTATCGAGTCTTACTCCTGCAGCTCAGTGATGAGTTTCTCCTTGTTGTCCAGCTCGTCTCTCAGGCTGCTGATCTGCTTCTGATGAGCTTCACGATGGGAGTGGATCTGCTTCTCCACAGCTTCCTGAACACAGACGGACCAATTGAAGGATTACTCACAAATATACAATTTTACACATAGATTTAATCCCAAAATTAAACAAATACATCCACATTATTTGTACAAACCTTGACTTCATTGGCAGTTTGGATCTCATTTTCTTTCTCCATCGCATGAACTTTTTCTGTAAAACAGAAACAATGGACTGACAGTCAGATTATTTTTAACCAACGTACAACTGATTTACTGAATTACTAGTAGTTACATGATCGTTTGCCAAATATAAAAATATGTCAGAATTAGTTTTTCTACAATGTCCCAGGAAGTAACATTTCTATGTAACAAAAACTGTGGTATTTTAAAAGCGTGAACGGAGTTGGATACATATATTCTGGTGCTTGTTTTAGTTTACAGTCCAGGTAAATAACGACAAACTTTTGATTTTGAGTTGTTATTGTTAAGAGCCCATTTCTAGAAATTCTTAAAATGTCAGTTCTTCATGTTGGATGAAAGCATTTAACTTTTGTCCTACAGCGTCTGAACTCAGAAACTATTTTAATCCCTTTTCATCAGAGCTTTACATGTTCTCTCCTCACAGAAACAGGTGAGTTTTCAAAATAAAGAGCGTCAAATCACAAAACAAATTATCTTTCTCTGTGGAAGGTTGCAGCTAAAGGAAACTACACAGGTTTCTGTGTTTTAACGAGTTTTTCTTCCAAACGAATATCGCCCGTGAACAAAGCTTAATAATTGTGAACATCTGCAAAATGAATAGTATTTATGAATGTTGCTACAAATGTGATTCTCGTTGCTTTATAAACTCCACTTGGTGTCAAACACCAGCCACAGTTTGTAAAAGTAATCTTGAAGAATCATTCTAAATTCAATTGACGGCTTTTGTGAATTTCCATTCACATGGTGCAGTTTGGCAGTAAATACTCTCGTATTAACTCGTGTTCCTCCTCTGCTGTACCTGCTTTAAAATAGTTTCTTTTCATCGTTCTCTCTTGGAACTGTCCGCCCAGACATTACATCATTCTTGTACTCTGGTTTCTATGACCGTGACTGGACCAGTTCTGCTACTTCCCACACAAAATTAAATTTGTCAAGAGCCGCAAAACATTTGTATACGTGACTTATTGCCTTTAATAAAGGCAAAGGTCGTTATCGACATCAACTTTTTTTTTAATCAAAACAAGCTTTTGTTATTTCCCGACTTTGTATGGGAGCTAAACTTTTAGTGTTCCCTCCTTTAATGTAGCATCAGCTGTGGTAAAATGTTTAACTCCTGGTAGATTTCAGAGAACGATTGTTTTGTGTGGCTGGAAGATAAATAAATGAAGCAGCTAACAGCTCCAACTGTTTACTTCTTTTATTATTAGCATAATTCTGTCAAAAACATTCATTTCACATATTTTCACTAAAGTAAATAACTGCTGACGCGATCCCTTTTTAGAGATTATGTGCACGTTTTCTAGTTTCATATTTCATATACCCCAGAGGGACCAAAGGACCACATGTGGCCCCAGAGCCACAGGCTGCAGAGCCCCGCTCTGAACCAACAAAGAATTAACGTTACTCGATCACCCTGGTTTATAGACTGGGGCAGGTCCTTCGTTGATTGTTAGAAAAGCTTATGCTTTATGAATATTTAATATAAACGGTCCTAAGTTCTGTTATGTGGGGGTTTGATTTAAGAGAGAACAAGTATCTTATGCAGGAGAAAGTTAAAAACAAAAAATAAAGAGGAGACAACAGCTGCTGCATTAAGCTGAAACACTGAAGAGCCTGAAGGTTGAACTGGAACTGAAAAGAAGAACATCTACCCGTTTTCTGATAATTTATTGGACGCTGTTACTTTGACTGTTCTTTAAAAACTAACAGAACAAAAAGGTAAAACGTGCTTTAATGACTTACCCTGAGCACTAAGCTTTACTAGTTCCTCATTGAGCGAGTCCACGTTCTCCTCCAGCTGCCTCTTCTTATGCTCCACGTTCTGAAGGTACTCAGTCAGCGACTTGATTTTAGCCTCATGCTGATGAAAAACAGAAACTTAGATGCATGTGATCTTTTAGGGCATTCAGGAACTAAACAACGCAGTTAATTTTTTACTGACCTGGGAGATGCGCAGTTGGCAGGCAGCCAGCTCTTTCTCGTTCTCATCCATCTTCTTGTTGCTTTCTGACTGGATGCTCTCCAGCTGCTTGCAGCGTTTCACCATCGTCTTCACCTCCGACTTCAGCTTGCTGATGTAAAGACGCGCCACCGTGAACTCCTCGTCTATCAGGCCGCTGCTGCTCTCGTGTTGCTGCAGAATAAAGAGAGACGCCGTTTAAGCAGGAGAGGAAAAAAAGGGACAGCTCTCCGTGAAGAAACCGTTGGTGTACCTTTATATCATTGCTGCCCACTGCGAATCCAATCTCAGCCAAGTCTTTAAGCAGCGATGACATCATCTCTGTCACCCTCTTCTTCTGGTGGTTGGACATTTCCTTCAACTTCTGGAGCTCAGAGTCCAGAGACGATAAGATGGACTGCAAAAACAAGAGACTTTAACAGCGTAATCCAAGGTTTTATGATGCCACAGTTTTAATAAAACACCATGAACGGGACAAAGCACATGTGTAATAAGATTCACTCGTGAAAAACTTCAGAGACACACTCTGTTAAACTTCCATCTATTATTTTACCAGCAGAGAAAAGTCTGACGTCAGCTCAAGGATCAAAGCAGAAAAAAACATTTTGACTTAATAAACGTTTTCTATATCTAGAGGTGCTCATGTAGTAATTTATTACTATTTATTTTTCATATGTTAAATTACATTTATGTCAGTACAGTAACCTCTCAGGATGCTTCTAAATATAATCAAGTTTAGCTCATTCAAACAGCCACAGCATCTCGTCGTTGTTAAAACTACAGAACTGAATCTAGCAGATGTTTACGGTAAACTACAAAACACCTGAAACTGAATCTCAGAGAACTTCATGAGTTTTGGGGGGAAATTAAAGTTCAACAGAGACACGCAGCTCCGCTATAATCTGGGGCATAAATATTCGTCTTTTAGCCGTAATATTTATTTAGAAAAACTAAAGCAGTAGAAACAGCCTCTCTCTCCGTGAGAGAAACTCAACAGGCTGCGCGCTCCCACAGCGGCGATCGTCTCCGTGTCTCGCCCTCGGACCTGGAGTTTGGTCACGTGCGAAGGTTGCGCGTCTGTACGATGACGACGCTCCGAACACATTAACATTTAATGCAAAGTTAGATTTTAGATACAAAAATCCCAAGAGGTAGGGGCGCGGTGCAGGAGGGGGTGATGCTGCATCAGTTCTGGTATCTCCCACGGCTGCACCGAATTGGTCACGTGTGAACACGGATGTTTAATAATTTAATCCAAGTCATCACCTTGATGAAGGGGTGGGTGGTTCTGTTAGGGTAGCGGAGTCAGAGATTCTTTATTGTCGTTCGCACCACATGTGGTACATGTGGTGGAATGAAATTTTGTACACAGGGAGAAAGCAGCGTCAGATTAATTCCTGTGCCATCATTAGATTGGAAATATTATAAAAGACAGCAAAACACTTTTTTTTCCCCCTCTCCTCGTTCTTACAGAAGACTGAAATCCGTCCAGCTACATTCAAAATTAAGCAAATCTGTTGCGGCGAAGGAGAACTTTAATCCATGCCAGCTTCTCGTGACTGTAACCAACTCTGCCACCTGACATTTTATGACCATCACAACCTCATCAGCCACACCTCGTGAATTTATTGCCTTCTGACTCCACTGTTGCATCATCTCCTGAGGGGAGCTGTACTTTCATTTCAAAGTGTAATCGCGACCAACGTGACTGCTTCACAAACACGACTTCAGACGTGGGGACGACTGTACTTTGAGGATTTTTCTCCCTCACAGCGATTTAAAAATGTTTTTATATATATATATATGTGTGTATATAAAATATGCAGCAGCAGTTACTGTGCATGTTGTAATTTTTTAAATCCCTGTAGGATGTTTTTGTTAAAGTGTCTAATGGTTTCTATGTTCTTTACTGACACCACAAAAACAAATCAAAGGTGCCTGAGTAAACTCAACCCTCTCCAAGGATTCAGGCATGCTGATGTTTGCCCCCAGCTTACAGATTTTTGGCTAAGCTCTTCACTGATGGACTCAAACTCCTTGGTCTTGTCCTCCACCTCCTGGCTCTTCTGGTCATAGTTGACAGCCAGCTCCTCCAGGGCCTGCAGAACCTCCTTCACTTCCTCCTTGGAGGCCTCGTTCTCTGCCTGAAGGCGGTTCAGCTCGGCCTGGAGGTTCTCGTGATCTCGCCGGGAGGAAGCTAGGAGCTGAATGAGCGGAGGTGCATAATTAGGTTTATGCATATTTAAGTAGTTATGTTTGACTTAACTCATTAGTGCTAATGCAGTCATTAAGCGTTACATTGAGGAAATAAAGGCACTGATCAGAATCAGAAGTTACAGAAATGATACCAGATCTTAGCTCATAAAACTACACTACAGTACTGCACGTACAGTAACAGCTTTTCATGGTCTCCCGTATCAAAAAAGCTCCAGAAATCATAATATCACTCAGTCTGGTGCCTCCGCCCCACCTGTTGGACTCTCAGCACTCACCTCCTCCTGATCCAGCATCTGCTGCTTCAGCTTCTCAACCAGCTGGCTCTGCTGGTTGATTTCATCGTCCTAAAATTATATTAAATTAAAAAGAAAGACATTTAACAGTGTCACTATTCTCACACACGTGGCGTCACTGTTTATAATTAGTCCACACGCAGGAATAAACCATTTTATTAAAAACAGGCTTTTATTATAAAGAAAACACTATTCTTTTCTGGTATCTGGATTGAAAACAAAAGGGGCTTACTGAATCATCTGTCAAATTAAAATTCCATTTATAGTCCATGAAAAAAAGCAAAGCATTGGATTTCACAAAAATCCAAAGCAGATTTACCAAAAAACTCCCATTTTTCAGCATTACTGGATACTTTCAAGATGAACCAGAGGAAATCTCTGCTCTTCAACATACTTTGGCTGAAGATGCATAGATCAGTCAAATCATATCTTTATCATTTCTTTGTAAGGACACCAGAAAGGGAACCATCCGATAATTGACAGAAGCTTGAGAAGGGTTCATTTCAGTCTCACTCCCGAGTGGACGAGAATACGGTCCTACAAAAGCCAACACTGTGACACGTCAAAGATCACACTGAAGTTTTAAGGCTGTTTAAGCTTAAAGAGACCCAACAAGCCATTTTAACACAGAGTGTAAACGTAAGAGTACATTTAAAAAGCAGCTGTAGTGGATGGTCTTAATGTTGAGCATTTTAAAGGTTCAACAAAAAGCAGAACTTTGTCCTCTTCCACCTCTGAAATATCCACAGCAGAACAAAGCTGAAATACCATCAGCACCAGTAAAGACAAGCTGCACTGACATTTCCTTGAGACTGTTTCCAAGGAGCAGCAACAAACATGTAAAATGTAAGAAAGGCTCTAAAAAGAGTTCTGTACAAAAACAAACACAGTTATAAAATAAAGTTCTTGTATTTTCTGCTTTGTGCTCTCGCTTACCTTATCATCCAGCTGTTTGTACAGCTTGGCCAGCTCAGCCTCACACTTGTCTTTCTCCACATCCGTCAGTCGAACGCCCGGCACGTTGGGTGTAGACGCTGGCTTGTCGTTGAGGATGTTGTCCAGAGCCAACACCTCAGCGTTGGCTTTCTCCTTGTCAAACTGCTCCTCCACCGGCACGCTCTCACCTGAAGCAGGACAGAAAAACGTTCAATAAGTGGGAGTGGATTAAATGTAGGCTCAGTGGAGATTATAATCCGTTCTGCTCCACCATTTCTCCAGCGATTGAGCTCATTCTCCAGCCAGGTGACGGTGTTCCTCAGAGTCTTGTTCTTCTCCTTCTCTCTCTCATACTTCTGTTTCCATTGCTCTGCCGTCAGCTCGATATTCACCGTCACAGTATTCTTGATGGTCTTTGCTCTGGAAGTAAAAAAATTAATTAACTGCCAAACATTTTATCATATTGTCTAATCTACCTCCTCCTGACTAGGCCTGTCACGATAACAAATTCTGCTGGGCGATTAACTGTCTCAGAATTTATTGCAATAAACAATAATATTGTTTGAAATTTGACAATAATTAGTAATTATTGTCAAATTTAAGAAGAAATGTTTGTTAATTTTTGTGTGTAGTACCTTTTTTGACCACCGGACGGTAGTATAAGACAGTTTGAACCGAAGGATGGATAGTGAGGGAACGAGCAGCATATCTCTAAGAAAAATAGGCTGACGTGGCACGGGCTGACTCGCTTTCCTTTTTGTCGGTTCGCAAAATGGCGGATGCTCGGTGTGGTTTGAGCTTTGTCACATAAAGTTTTTAATTTTAAAAAAATCAGTAAACAAGTTCTCAGCTTCTTTTTGCAGAGAAAAACAACTTTTTACACAAAGGCACGGGTTTCAACTGTGAATTTTGGAGTTTCGACAAGACTGCGGTCCCCCCCCACCCCCCACCGAGGTGGGCCTGTTAGCTTAGCTCGTAGCTTAGCTTCTCAGCTTAGCTGCTTTCAACGATCCAAAAACGTGATTTTGGGAGTTGAGACTTTTGTCATCCAGTGTCTTCAGTAGAAAGAGAGAGACATGAAGAAACAATAAAGCTGATAAATGAAAATGATGTACTTTTCATTTATCATGTGATTAATTGATTTATTGTTTATCGCTCCTAACTTGTAGTTTGATTGATCTTTTCTGGTACAAAAAAAAAAAGAGAAAATTCCTTTTGCATAATAGAAAAACTGCTTTTTTTTTTTTTGCAATAATGCAGCGTAAATGCTAATTACTGATAAGCTTTGCTGAAGAAATTTTTAACGGAGTTGTTAAAGCTCAAATAAGCCAAAGATTAGCTAAAGGCAAAAGGCTAGCTAAAAGGTAAAATGAAAAAAAAAAAGCTAGGTAATAACTGAAAGTAGCAGAATTGCCACCAAAAATTGAATGAGAAAACAAAATCAAAGATAGTAAAAGTGGAGGCAGATTTCAAAGAGAAGATTTTTTTTTTTTGCGGTCTCAATGCATTTCAAAGGAGAAAATATCCATAAAGTCAAATATTTTAATTTAACTTTTAAAGTTAAAAGTAAAATTTACAAAAACTATTAGTCTTAGCATCCATCTCCAGAATGAGCTGAACATTTTGGTATATGAATGGATTAAATAGCACAAAGTATTTAGAAGTATGTTGCAAAAAATTGTACGGAAAACAATTGAATGTGAATATGGAATCAGCATTCACACAATTACTCAAAAGAGGTTTTATAAATCTGCACCCTCTTGTAAAGTAATCCATTTTGTAAAGCAAGCCCTTCAGTGTCTTTGTGACTGGAGCGGTTGTTTGGCCCACTAACCTTTGTCCAAACATCAGGGTGGATTTGGTTTCGGCCTCATTGAAAGAGGAAGGCGAGCAGCAGATAACAATGGTGGTTCGACAGTTGCCACCCAGTGAGTCTTGAAGGATACGAGTCATCTTGCTGTCTCGGTAGGGGATGTAGGCCTGGAAATACGTAAAACAAAGATTTACAAAAAATATGAGAGTCTTGACTGATCAGTAAGTAATCAAACAGACACCTACATTAAAAAAACTAAAACATGTCTGGGACTTTCTAAGCCGATATATTTCAATCTAAAAGATTTGTTCTGTTCTGAAACTGAAAAAAAAAAATGGTTTCACCAGATCTGAACAGACTGTAGCAGCTTAGGTTACAAGTTCAGTAAAACGAGATCAAAATTAAAATCTAACTCGATTTACGATTAGTATTGAAACGTACAGCTAAACTGCAGAAAGCTGTCGTCCTTCTTCACAAACTACTATGCTCAGTGGGTAGTGAAGCATCTCTGGACAATAGCTAATTTGTTTTTGAGCATCATAAATACATCAGCAGCTGTCCGCCGCAGGTTGTTTACAGAGCGAACGAGCCGTACAACAAACCAACACTTGATCAAAGTGAAAAGGGTGAAATTAGAACCAAGAGCTGGAGAAAGAGATTGCTCAGAGGAAAGGCTTTATCTGCTAAAAGTTCACCCTGCAACACAAAAGACCTGTAGATGTCTTAAAATGGGAGTTGCAGCACAAAGAAAACAGATAAAGACGGTGGTTTTTATCACGTAGACACAAGCTCCAGGCTCTGCAGCTGCTAAACATCGAGTACTTCTTTCTGTTGTATCGAGGGTAGTGTGTCGATTTAAGGCTCTACATCCAAATAAAATAAAATAATTACACCTAGGGCAGAGATTTAGCACTTATTGAGATAAAAAGCAAGATAAATATGCCACAAACAGATTTAGGTTTATTAGGTTACACGGTAACAGCTAAAGCTTACACACTGTGCCACAATAACGCACGCTTTGTTTTAATGACAAAATCCATCAAATAACAAAAAACCCTTAAAGTAACTCTAGAAAGCAGCAATAAACAAATTTAGGGCGACAGGAAAGAACTGGCTGTGAAGGAGCTACTGACCGTTCCTTCAGCCAGGGCAGAGATGACATTTCCCAGAGATGACAGAGATTTGTTGATGTTCTTGGCTTCATCCAGCACAGCTCCTTCTGCACCAGTTTTACTGACCTGCACATCACCGAGGTTAACCAATCAGAAACATGACGGATTACGGAAAAATACAGATTCCATCATCAATTAAAGGCAGACGATATTAAAAAAAGTTTAGATAACATCAGTGTTTCCCCTAGATTAGTTGCCTTGGCAGGGTGGGGTGGGTCGATGGAGACACGGCTATGTTGCTGTAATGCCACTTTAATTGGTGATATGTGACTTATCTGGGCTGCTGACTATCTCATGCTGCTGAATTCATTCATACCCATCTACTCACTACAGACTCGTGTTCGGGCTGCTGTTTAATATACTGTATTGTTTTACATTATTAGGGTTTAGCGTATATATTAGATCTTTTAGTGTATTTTTTAGCGTTCGTTTAGCGTTTATCTTAGATCCTTGTATACCGTTTCATTTCATACTTTATATTTTTGCCATTTTTGGGGTGTAACTGGGACCCTGGGTACACAATTTCATTCCACCTCATGTATCACACGTGATGCGAATGACAATAAAGATACTTGAACTTGTATTGCGCGCCACTAGCTTAGCGCTACGTCAGTGCCAGCAGTTGTCAGTGGGGTGGGGAGATTAAGACATGGCTGTGTTGCGCGCCATTTGCACCGACAGTTTTCGGGGGGTGGAGACGGCTCAGCGTGAGAGAAATAGAGCGCTACCTCTGTAGCTTTTTAGCTAGCGCATCTGTATTGCTGTGTTGTGCGCTGCTTGCTTAGCACTACGTCAGTGCCATGAGTTGTCTGGGTGGGGGCTCGGTACAGACAGTTCAGTTTGGTAGGCAGGGTGCTCTGTTCTGTTGAACCCCTGCTTGCATAATGGTAGGGGAAACACTGCACATTATTAGTATGCACCATTAATGAAAGACTGGTCGTTGTTATAGATGTTTTAGTTCACCTTTTCACTACCAGCAAGATCCACCAGGTAGAGTTTTCCACTGAGCTTCTGCTCTGTCTGAGTGTTTTCCTGTTTGACGTTGATCAGGAAGATACTGTGACTCCTGGAGCTGTGCTCGTTCATGTCTGAAGGAGAAAAGACACTCTGTCAAAAGCCCTAAACATACAAACCAGTCTAAAGACAGGATCTATTTCAGGATCTTACTTGTGACAGCTACGTGTCGGTTAGATTTGCCTTCATCAATCGTATCCATGACTTCCTCTGGGCTGCAGACAAACCTCTCAGTGCAGCCCTTTGAAAGCAAAGCAACATGAAGCACAGTTGTTGAGCTCCGTTAACAGGTTTTACCAGATATTTTGACAGGTGACAGCTTAATAGCTCTTACCTTGACATAGGGTACTCTGTTTTTGTCTTCGTGCACGGATAAATTGGTCTTTGACACTGGAATTAAAAAAACAAATGCATCAGAGAAACTTACCAAGTATGAAAAAAACGGATCAGATGATGTCATACCACAGAAATCTTAATAGAGGAAAGGAATGTAGAAAACATAATTAAGTGATTTTGTCTGAATGTTCATACTAACGGGGCTCATATCTTGATATATTGAGCTCATCCTCATCTCTGATCATGGAATGTTAAACTCTTAAAATATTTTTCTCTTTACATGGTTGTTAGTGTATGAAGCAGATGAGCTTAAACTACTAAAACTATGAAAATTACAAAAAAAAAAAAAAACATTTAATTGACAATAAAATCCTAGTTTAGAGGCATCAATGAATCCCACCTTTTAAAAAAAAAAAAGAGAGAATATTTTCATTTTCAGGTTTAACATGGTCCAGAGTGGTTGTGTACGACATTGTTCAACAGTCTGCCTCCTAATGATCATGACACAACTGCTCATTAATTTTTTTTCTTGGCACACTTTGCAGCTCGCTCCGGCACATCTGCTGCCACAGTTCGGTACAATTAAGGGAACACGAGAGATGATGTGTTCACTCTACGCGCTCAGTCGCTTACCATCCAAAAGATCTCGGATTTTGTCAAGGTAGATTTCAAAATATGAAACCTGTGAACAAAAAGAGCCTCATTATTTACAGCCACAACACAACCTACACAAACATACAACCAAAAGAAAAACATTAAATGAGGGAACAAGATACTAATGTGTATAACAGATGTGAAAATATATTGTGCTTTGGCTTCTACTTTTTTTCAGATATATAAAAGCAGAACTGAAAACGATGCAACACAGGAAGCATGATACGGCAGTACAACTCTGTATGTTCATTTTCACGTCACTTATATTGTTAGCTTAGAAATGACACGCTGTTAAAAAACTAAATGCGGTTTGTGTTTGGAAATTCTCCTAAAAGCATGCATAACCAATAATAATCATACATTTCATCACATAAGTTCAGTAACCGAGGTTAAAAATGTATTTTTATGTTCAGTACTGCCTTTTTGTTTCTCCGCCGCAGGTGCAACAGTAGACCAACATGCCTCGTCTGCTTACTTTGATATGAAACTCCAGGTTTTCATCCATGGCATAGATGTAGTTGAATATATCCTGCACTATCCTGGGGATGATACCCATTGCATCTGTGTCATGGAGATTCCCCTGCAAACAGACAGCAGTTGTATAATTTAAAACACCCTATAATCAACAATAAAAGTAGAGGTTAGAGGTCTCGGGTTGTTACCTCCATGGTGTGTGTTTTGCCAGATGACGTCTGCCCATAAGCAAAAATCGTTCCATTGTAGCCTTCGAGAACATCTATTAGACACCATGCAGACATTAGTAAAGTAATTATGCATTCAAAAAAGTACGTTTTTAGAGTAAAACTGTAAAGATAAATATACTGTAAAAAGAAAAAAGCGTCACCTTTAACAATTTTTTGGGCGCAAGCATCGTAGACTTGTTCTTGTGTCGTATTAGACTGAAAGACTCTGTCAAACATGTAGGGTTTACCCTGAAATAAAGAAAGAAAAGATGTGAGTCATACAAGCAAGTTTTAAAACAAGAGTGACGCCATTGGTACATAATACGCCCGTCAGCGTACGGTAATCAAAATACAAAGCATGTATTGTGTCACACAGCAATGCTGAATATGTGTTTATATAGTATTCATTCAGTCATTTATTCATTCAACCTTTATTTATACAGGTTAGTCTCACTGAGCCACGAGGACTCATTTACAAGAGACCTGTTTTAGACAGAACATATAAAAGTACAGACAACAATAAAAGTAGCGTTATAAAACAAGGTAAAATAATAAAAACAAGAACAGATTTGCTTTAACGTTTCTATTGACCTTGTCGAATGTTTAAAAAAAATCCCCTAAAGAAATTAGGGTGGACAGCTTCAGTTCCTGCTGCAAGGTGTTCCAGGTGTATATACAGGTAGTACATCCAGGATTGTGGTGGGGTCAAAGGTCACGCTCACTGATAATGACAGTGGTGTCACACACGGTGTAAATCGACAGTTCAGTTAAATTCATTGTTAAATTTGCAGGTGACACCACATTCATTAGTGTCATCAGCCGTCCCTTATCCTTGCTGGAAGACATCGGCAGCATGCGGTGTCTCAGGAGAGCGAGGGTAATCGTTGCTGATCCCTCACACCCAGGACAGCACCTGTTCACCATCACGCCCTCGGGCAGGAGATACAGATACCTTAAAAGCAGGACAAAATAACCCTGTTTCTTTTTCCCTGGGCCATCAGGTCCTTGAACTCTAATGTGTATGCTAAGGGTAAACAAAGTGAAAATGTATATTCTTTTTTTGAAATCTTTTTAATACTCTATGCGATATTTTATTTATTCCCGTTTTGTTGTTTCACTGTTCTATTTACTGAAAAGCACTGCAGTCTCACTGTATGCATGATGTGCAATGAAAATAAAAATATATATATATATTAAAGAACATGAAACTGCAGCCATTTGTTGAATGTGAAGAACTAACCTGTTGATGACTACCAGAGGATCGAAACCATTTTATGACCAGACGCGTGGACTTCACCAGCACCACATTAAAATAATGTCTGATGACATTTTCTATTCCATTTGTGAAGTTACACTGTAGACACACAACTCAGGACCATCTTATACATAAACGGGCACAAACTAGGGAACAATGGGTTTAACATGTTTATGTTAATTGTATGTTAAGAAGCATAGACAAAGTTTGAATAAAGAGGCGTCTGTGACCTTGAAATCAATAAGGATCATCCACAGCTGATGCGTCAGGTCAGCTGTGCAGTTTGATATTTATGTTAAAGTGAGAACGGTGGCGCAACTGGTAGAGCTGCTGCCTCTCAGTGAGAAGATCGCCGGTTCAAATCCCGGTCCAGGGGCCTTTCTGGGTGAAGTTTGCATGTTCTCTCCGTGCATGCGTGGGTTTTCTCCGGGTGCTCCAGTTTCCTCCCACAGACCAAAAACATGCATGTTAGGCTGATTGGCAACTCTAAATTGGCCCTAGGTGTGAGTGAGAGAGTGAATGGTTGTCTTGTTTGTCTCTATGTGTCCCTGTGATGGACTTGCCATCTGTCCAGGGTGTCCCCCGCCCCTCGCACAGTGATTGCTGGACATGGGCACCGGCGAGCCCTGTGACCCAGAATGGAAGAAGCGAGTAAATGATGATGGATGGAATTAATGCATCACGCTTGTCAGAAAATCTGCGATTAACACTTTCTTTAACAAAATGATTTAATTACACAATCTGATCAAAATAAAAAGGAGAGGGAAAAAACTGAAACTAAATAATAAATGTTGCATTTTTAATTATTTAGGTTATTCATAAAGACACACTATACGGTGTGAGCTGTGAATACCAACATGGACAATGGATATTAAAAAGACTAAAAACAAAGTCCATGGCAGAACATCTACCTCCTATTTTACGCTTAACAAAATTCAAGGCAATATCTACATTTCTTTCTGTGCCGCTGCCATTCCATGGAAAACTGATTGAGGGAAAGCAACAACCTGCATATAGTATTATTTAACATATTTTAGGACGGCACAAATTATCAGCAACATTTACAAACGGACTGTCAGGAAACACAGAAGCAACGCAACAGAACCAAGCTGAGACGATAAGTGTACAGTGATTTAAAAACATGTTTCTAAACCAATTTAAAAAAGGTATAATTACTTTACTTATAGTAAACAGTGGATATTTAATAGAAAATGACAAGTGTTAAAAAAAAAAGCACTGAAGAGACTTAAAGAGGTGTTGGTTAGTCTTCACACAAGAGCGCCCCCAACCCATTATACTTCCTACGTTTTATAATTTCTCAGGCTAAATTCAGCTCAGCATGGCATTTGAAGTCAACTTAGCAGGATCCTGAGCTTTTAGTATCAATTTAGAAGTAAATCAATCAGAGCATAGCTGACTGTGGGCTAGTCAAAACTTCAGAGCACAATCCCAGGGAGATAGTGATCAATAGCTGCGTTTAAGATGGAAAGTGCAGGCCAATAAATCTGATGTTACAAGCAAATCTGAGGTTCATCTGAGATGGCAAGCTGCGTTTGGTGGTTTTCAGTCCCAGTTGACTCATCTTTCTTTCTCCGTAGGTGGGGCTCTAGCAGAGTATGAAACAAAAAAAAACAAAGAACAACCAAGATGTCTGCAGAACAGGAACAGTTTATGTAGTTTGGTGTTAACATCTATAAAGGCAGCCAACCTGAGAATGCTGACAAGCAGCTGGCGTCTCTGAAGACACCAGTTATTAGTGCTCACTGGTTTGGGGATGATAATACATAAGCAAATTCCTTGTTCCTTTTAAGGTGGAAAAAACACATTAGGCTCAGTCTGACATTAAACGATTCACTGCTCCGTATTGTAAGACTGCTACAACTGAAATGTCCTGATGTTGCACAGCCGCTCATAAACTCTCCTGACAAACAGTTACACCTGAGGTACAGCTCTGTCTATATGAACCAGCAGCATCTGAAGACGGCTGTAATTCACTCCAGACAGCCACATCCTGGCAATTAACCTTGCCCAGTACAAGAGCACAGAGCCAGTATCTGGACTGCCAGAGGCTACAAGCAAACCGAGGAGAGTTTAAAGTCCTGATTGTTACTGCTGCTACCGGCCTCGTTACTTACACTTCCTTCTAATTGGATTACCATCTGAAATTACAATTACTGATATACATTGTCAGTCTGTGTAAAAGTGCTTTGTCACATCCTTCTTCTCTTGATGGCTTTATTATAACACTGCCCAAATAAGCTCTTAGTAAGGGACAGTAAGACAGTCACTGCCCAAGGTTATTCAGAATATCCTCATAATTTTTGATAAACCATGAAGTCACACAGGTTTTATGTCGCTATGGAGTCCATCATTTGTTTCTGGTTTTTTGAAGCCCTCACAAATACTGTTTGGTTTTCATACGGCAGAAAACTTTCGCTTTACTGGATGCACGCAACTTGTAAACATGTTTATACTTTAAACGGTTACTGATCTCTGTAGTCTTTTCATTCACGTTACCTCTCAAGCACTTCCAAAATAACACCATCTAAATTTAACTCGGCTCTGGTTTCGTACGGCTTTCCTGAGTTACCGAAAGAAAAAAGAAAACGTGACAAAACATGGAACAATCAACTACTCGAAAAGTGTACGGCTGGTGGGAGAAGCGGCAGCTGCAGGAATAATTCACCTGCGCACTCGCTTTACTGGCAAAGTTAGTTTGGCAAATCAAGCTTGTTGCACCACTCAGAACATCATCTAGAAATTTGGCTGAATAACACCAAGAATCTAAACAACACTGGTATGGTCTGATTTATGGCTACTTCATAAAACCAGTATCTCAGTTGGTGAAGGACGTCTGCAAGGGATTACAAGGATTTGCAGTTTCCTTACTTGAGATGCAGAGGCTTGAAGCCTTGTCGCTTGTTTTTTTAATTTATTCAAAGAAATTTGTGCAAAATGTTTCCTCCCAAACTCATCAGTTATAGGCATCTCAAACTCATCTAGAACCTCCCTAATTTAGTTTGATTAAATTACAGAGCGCTGGAGCAGTATTTTGACACCTGCACAGGAGCTCTCCTACGACAGAAAACATTTAAGGCTACAGACATAAATGTTTGGGTCTAAAAAAACGGGCTGAGAATTAAAAATTATTAAAAAAAAATAAAACTGGTCCAAATCTTCCTATCTTAATTTCAAAAGTGTACTCCAGTATATGAATTCATTAAAAGTTGGTGTAGCTGCTGAGGTGGGTATAAAACTAGCTGAAGGGGATACAATGTGGGCAACTTAATAATCTGGCAGTGGCTTAGAATACAAAAAAAAAGCTGCACACACAAACAAAGGCCCATTATAAAAGATGGACATTCAAAACGAGACCACATGGCTCGGTGGTCGCAATCTCTCAACCTAAACTTTAGTCAGACAACAATGGAAACTTGTCTTTTCTTCACAATTTTTTTGTTGCAACCCAACGAGGGACACCTTAACAGGAACTATAGTCAGGTTCACTGGCTGAGTGACGAAACACTGAAACTGAGGCTTCAATTTCAATATAAAGTCCACACCCTAGATTCTCTGAAAATGGATCAAAATAGCAAGCTATGCGAGTAGGTCAACCTTGTAGGTCAGTATCAGCAAAACAAAAAAAAAAACATCACCATAATATTTACCCTCCCCATCCAAAGAGATTGCCTAATGGTGTCTAATTGGTTGAACAGCTGGTAACCAGGAGAGAAAATAAAAGGGATTACCCAGGAGACCCCGGGTAACGCTGCTGCTACCTGTGGGCACTGTAAGTGCTATACAGCAGATGCAACACGAGAGACTACGTACTCACTGCTGGCTTACAACACGTGTCTCTCTCAGTGCGCACTGGCATTTTGGCACTTTGACCGGCACTCTGCACTGGGCAGGTCCACACCACGCCTTAGTGGGACAGAAAGTAACGTCGCCATTAGCTAAAAGCCTGCAGAAAATGCCTGTAAAACAATTGAAGGAATCACAACTACAACAGTGTTCCCTGTTCTAAAAGTAATAGTGATGTTGTAATCTACACTAAACATCGTATGTAGCAGGTCAACCAAAAGTCCAGTATTATTATTCATTTAGCCAAAACTGGCAAATTTATGAATATATTTAACGATCAATTTACTACTACCTTGTAAACTCTGGAAGTCATATTTGTATGAGTGAGCATGTTACAAAGACGCCAAAGTCCACAGAGACAATGACAGATTGTAGCTTTGGCAAACTAATATTCAACTACGCACAGTATGCCAATGACTTACGCAAGTTGCTATGTAAACCTTAAATAAAGCATGATGATTGTGTGCTTTTACTGAAATATGGCAACCCACCTCCCTTAACAGGTGACTTTTACTCCTGCCATACGGTACAGAAGCACACAAGTTCACAATTCAAATAGAATGAGTTTTTCTTACTGCGTGAGTCTCAACTGATAAGGCATTGTGTGCACATTAGTTTCAAACAGACCTAAAGGCGAATGTTTTATTGGTACAGCTAAAAGCCAATATCAAGCAACTGCAAAGCATTTCCTTTTTCTCTCTTGGTGGACGTTGTGCCAATGTGCTTTATGCTTATCAAGCTCAGGAGGGGTTGGCCTCACAAGAGAGCTAATTACAGTGTTGACAGCACACTTTTAAGTGGTTCCAAAATGAGCATACTCATGAAAACAAAGTTTAATTTGCTGCAGCCAAGTGTTCATTCACAATATAAAGATGGGTTGTCACTTATCTCAGTGTGTTTTCCCTTACGGAGGGATATTCTTAAATGTATAAATTATACCTGACAATCATTATGGATTACAGAATAAGGGTTTGGTGCCAATTAGCTCATGCTAGCTCCAATTAAGCTTCAAAACTAGCCTGCTAGCGGCTCCGGCTAATCTGTGATGAAACAGCTGGCCTAGCCTGATAGCCAAAAATTAGCACTACCGATCCAAAGCGGTTATACTAAACTAGTCATCATTTACAAATTTAGTTACAGGTGTGTACCATCTTTCCCCCCGATGACACAATATAAAGGCTGTGAGTTGTGGCTCCTTCGTTGAATGACAGCTCGCTAAGTCATGACAAGGCGACCGCCGAGTTTTAGGAAACAGCGCGCGGACCATCTTTCAGAAATATACAATCCACCAAAAATGTCCACCGTCATTTTGAGTTAAAACGAATGGCTGGAGTTTAGGTGGGTGAAACATTTGCTGGAGTTAGAAGTTGGTGGCAGAGGAACGACGCAGCGGTGAACAGGTCAGCCCAGCTAACAAGCTAAGCTGCTAACTCTTAGCTACAGGACAATCAGAAATGGCGCACCGTGCGAGAGAGAGCTCTGGTAAAAAAACAGAGGAAGCCACAACAAATCTTAAAAATATCTCACCGCAATAACTATGGTGTCCTCCCCTTGAAACTTGGCAATGTATCTGTCGCCTCTGGTCACCTCGGAGCTATTCAGGGGCCTGAAACGGCACATCACTTTGATGGTGCACTCCGCCGGGTCGGCCATCTTCCACCGTTACCGAATGGAAATTCACGGATAAAGAAACTAAAGTAGATCCTGGATCCCAGGGGCGGCGGATGAGTAGGCCGAGCCCCCCCTCTGTCCAAATATCAAGCTCTGGAAAAGGGGAGTAGTAATCAACCGTGTATTCAACAACAGTTAAAAAAAAAATAGATCTTTGTTTTCCTCTCAATCGCTCGAGGAAGCCATGACACCGGTGGATGAGCGGCGGTGCGCCTCACCCCTCCTGCTGCCGCGGATGTGGATCACGATGACGTCACCGGAGAGGGCGCTCCCCAGCGAAAACACAAGGCAGCATCTAAAATAAAATAAATACATTGTCTAATGAGCAATATTTTCTACGCTTCCGTATAAGAGCCATGGTTTGACATATTTAAATACTGTTGGGTACAAACCAGGATTTCTATCATGAAATTAGTAACTAAATGTTCAATAATGTATGTTTTGTATGTTTTATTTATTCATTTCATTTCATCCAAACAACAAATATAATACAATTTAAAGAAAAGAAAAAAGATATACAATCACAGAAATAAAATGAAAGGCAGCAGAAGAAGAATGAGTTCTTATAATATCTGCCCCTTGTCCCCAAAATATATTCCAAACAAATTTACTATACAAAAGCACGTTGAATTAATAAAAAAAATAAAAAAAATAAAATAAAAAACTTAGCTAAAATATAAGATCAACTGTGAACAATTTTTATGAACTCACATTATACTTAATATTTTTTAAAAAAACAAATTTTTATCATCTTCTTGAATATGTACATAGTTTTGGCATTTTTCATATCAACCTCCAGATCATTCCACAATCTAATACCCTGAGATCTAGTGGATCGCATCTTCAGACTGGTGCGACACCACGGCTTCACAAACATCTCCATCCCCTTAAGATAATAATTACTTTCTCTTTTAACAAATTTCCCTTGAATGTTAGTAAGTAGTATAATATTGTGCCTTCAAGTAGCAGTTTTACTGTCCAGTTGAGTATTTATATGTACTGTACATTCATTATCCTGAACTTTTCATACCTACAAGATCTGAGAAATGACATATTTCACATACCTTATTTATGAGCTAAAATTGTTCAATTCAGTTTATTTATAGTATAGTGCCAAGTCACAGCAGAAGGTCAGGGCACTGAACAAAAACATTCACATACATTATAAATGCCAATTAGTAAAGTTATCTATCTAAGGAAGATAGCAGATTGCACTGAGGTTTCATTTTGTCGCAGTCTCCCATCCTGAGCAAGCACAAGGCAACTGTGGAAAGGAAAATCGCCCTCAGAATAGGAAGAAACCTCCAGCCGAACCAGGCTCAAGACAAGTCAAGCGGCCATCTGTTTCAACTGGGTTTGAGAGGACAGGAAGGACAAACGGACACAGAATGGCAGGTCCAGAATGGAGGCCAGCAGACGAGCAGGTTCCTCTCTAGGGGGAAAGCTAAAAAATAAAAACACATGCTAAGATAGAAATAATTACAAATACAAACTATTCGTTATTAATTTGTAGCTACCAGTATTCATTTGATGAAATGAGGCCAATTTGTCCTCCAGTAGTCTAAGCCTAAGGGACAGCTCAGGAAACCCAATCTGACTCGGTTTATCAAGAAGGAAAGATTTGAGCCTAGTTTTAAAAGTAGACATTGTGTCAGCCTCACGAACAAAAACTGGAAGTTGGTTCCACAAGAGAGGAGCCTGCAAATGAAAGATCTTCCTCCCGTTCTGCTTTTGGAAACTCTAGGAACCACAAATAAACCTGCAGTCTGAGAGTGAAGTGCTCTGTTGGGAAAATATTGAACAATAAGATCTGTTCAAGCTAAATAAGCAAAGTAGAGCTAATATTAGCGACAAAGAAGCTAAAAGCAGCAAAACTGCAACTAAAAGCTAAAATAGCTAAAAACTATAGCCAAAAAGTAAAAAATAAAAACAAAGCAATCTAAAATTAGCATCACTGATGCAAAAAACTACATTTAGCAAACTCATAGCTAGAAGAACAAATTAACAAAACAGTGACTAAAAGCTCAAACCAGCAAAAGAGTAACAAAATCTTAAATAGCAAAGTTGTAGAAAATGCTGAAATTGGGTTAACCATAGCTATAAGCTTAAACAAGCAAGGCAGTAGTTAAAATCCAAAAGAAACGTGAACAAAAAATTAGCAAAATGCTGAGAATTCAGACGGCAAAGTTTTTGAAGGAAGTTACATGTTGTTTTAAAGTATAAAAGTTAAGTTACATAAAGTTGAACATTTTGATACATAGGTGGTTAAAATAGCACAAAGTCTGTAGACGTAGTATTGCAAAAAAATGTGTAACCATAAACAAGAAACTGTATTCTGACTCAACATTCACACAACAAAAAGGCAGATTATTAGCACTAAACTGTATTAGTATTACATATAATAAATACCACTTCACAAAATGTGTTAGATAAAACCCTGTCCTGCAGAAAGTATAAATTTATTTATCCTGGTTAATGAAGCACAAAACAGTCTTAAATCTGCTGAATTTAAGTGAAACACAGCTCAAAACCTTTCGGAGAAGCAGACTATTTTGTTGTGTTGCACTGTGTGGGAGATGGAGAAAATACGTGGAACAGTAGAGTCATTGTTGCTCCCACATGGGATGTACAGTAACTGCAGCCTGTGAATCAGCTGTTTCCAGGAGTGAACGCTGTGGTCGCTGCAGCTGTGAGACCAAAAAAAAATCAACGTCTGACCTCATTCAACAGATGCCATAATGGAGGAACAACCACAGAGAACAGCTAGAGGCTGCGCGGATTTCCAGGCCACTCCCAGAAACACCAAAGCATATCCTTTTTCATGCTGGAGTGCTGAGCTGATCTGAATACCAGTTCTGCTGGCCCACTTGTGTTCTCAGAGGGTGTGGTGCTGCTGTCTGAGCTGACTGACGGTCTGTTACAGTCCCCACACGGCTGCTGCAAGTCTGAGCCACTTTGAGCTTTTATCATATTTTAAATAATATTCTGCTCTTTATTATAAAACAATAAAGAAATACAGCGGGTTATTTCATGTCGCTGAGTTACATATTTGTTAGAGCTCCTCTCCATCTGTGTAGCACAGGACTCGAGCTAAGCCTCTTAGTGGACAGCTGTGTCTTCCTGTTTAAAGTCATGTACTGTAGATTTGTGTTCATTGTTAATCCTTCAGGCAGTAATAAACAACAAACAAACCAACAAATAACCATTTGTATTCTTCTATATGATATTTTTGCCATTTAGATTTTTTTTTTCCTTTCGGCCGCTCCCTTCTTCAGGGGTCGCCACAGTGAACTAACTCGCACAAAGACTTGGCGATTGTTTTTACGCCGGATGTCCTTCCTGATGCAACCACCGAGCTACCACAGCCATCTGTGTGGAGCAGAGAGCTGCTGTCTAGGGCGCCCAGGGGAGCAGATGGTGGTTCAGGGCCTTGCTCAAGGGCCCAGAGCGGGGCAAATGAGGGTGGAGACAGGTGTGGGCGTGTCACATTTCACAGCCACTTTTTGATGATGTCCGTCAGGGGATTGAACCAGCAACCTTCCGATCACAGAACCACCTTCTCTAACATCTCCTAATCTAATACCACTCCCAATGCAACTTAGATTAAAAATACTTGTTTCAATAAGTAAATCATGCGGCCTTTAAAAGTAGAGTTGTGTTTTAAAACAAGTTAGTGGATGATTAGAAAATTGTAAAAACAGTGAAATGCTATTGTGCAAAAGTTAATGAATAAATCCTCAAATTAAGTCCATCAAATTAGTGTTTTTCTAGATGAATGTCTTCATTATGCAAAGACTGTTAAACTCCATCCATCCATCCATTATCTTTACCCGTTTATTCCGTTTTGGATCACGGGGGTCGCCGGTGCCCATGTCCAGCAATCACTGTGCGAGGGGCGGGGTACACCCTGGACGGGTCTCCAGTCCATCACAGGGACACATAAGAGACAAACGAGACAAACAACCATTCACTCTCTCACTCACACCTAGGGACAATTTAGAGTTACCAATCAGCCTAACATGCATGTTTTTGGTCTGTGGGAGGAAACCGGAGTACCCGGAGAAAACCCATGCACGGAGAGAACATGCAAACTCCACCCAGAAAGGCCCCTGGACCGGGATTTGAACCAAGGACCTGCTCGCTGAGAGGCAGCAGCTCTACCAGTTGTGCCACCGTGCTGCCGACTGTTAAACTCAATATTTGTAATTTGTTCCACCATTTTTTTTTTTTTTTTTTTGTCCTGCAGAGGATTTAAACTGGCTGAGGAGAAAAAGGAGAGAGGATGTCATGCCAAACTTTAACTACGGCAACAACACAATTCAATTAATCAATAGAACGAGACATGAAGACACGCTGCCTGCGCTGTAAGTGCTGATGGTCAAAACTAATTTTACTGTGTGTGTGTGTGTGGGGGGGGGGGGGGGTGTCACACTTCTATTGTGAAACACTGCAGAGCTTCAGCTTGATGAATGTATGTACAACCCAAGTTCCCCCCAAGAACTGGGATGTTGAGTGTGTCTCACTTTAAGCCAAAAAATGTGTCTATTGAGAACTTGATGGCAGCAACACATCTCAAAAAGGTTTGGAAAGGGTAGTGTATAAAAAATAAAATAAAGTTTAAACACCTTGTGAAGAATTTAACAAATTACGTCAACTGGCGGCGGGTAACTGAGTATAAAAAACGCATTTTAGAAGTAAAAATGGGCAGACGTTCTCCAATGAAAAAGGTATAAATTCTTAGTTTAAACATTTGGTATGTTCACTTTGTTCCAATAAAACATGGGTTTATAAGGTTCTCAAAATATTAAATTTCTATGCACTGGAGTTCACCAATTTGTGAAAACTTTGTCTATAAGTAATTGAAACTTTTCTGACTAAAATCAATTGAATATTAAAATAGTAGAATGCCTGCTCTGTACATTTGGCAATATACGGGTAAATTATTGTAAACTATTCTAGAGAATTATTCAAAACTAACTGCTTGTTAAATTGTGTCAGCCCCTTTGCAAAATCATTACACGTATAAAAAGGTCTTGATCGGTCATTAATTGTTCGTGCCTAACTTCCTCGTTCAGAATGAGATACCGGGTGCCTAATCAAGACATAAATAATAATAAGAGAACAAGATGCACAGCTTATTTACATCGTTATATAGTACACTATAATGCCAGGTTATGTTAAAATACAAGAACATGTTCAAATTAAAAAAGTGTCTTCATTCTAAGAGATGTTTTAACAAGGTTGGTCTAATTAAAACAGAAAATGGAAGGCCATGCCTTT